AAATACTAATCCTTGTCTAATGTTTGAACTGGAAGTTTTTTCTCTAAAAATTATACTTTTCAGAATACTGGTGCTATGTGATCACTTATTTGGCCAAGTTTCCTATAAACTATCTTAGTTAATAGAAGGATCTTGAATATCCAGGACGATAGATTTCATTCTGTGGGTTTTTGACACATTTTTAATTGTTTTTATTTAATCTTTGCCTAAATGTTAGCTGTTGGGCTAGTATATAACTATTTTTACAAAATGCATAATCATGACTGCCAAATTTTCCATGACTAACTAAACCCTGCCAGATGTGTTTTAGGTTCTGCTGAGTCACATTTTTATCCCCAGAACTCTGTGTTCCCACTTCAAATTCCCTCTGGGCTTTTTTCATATTTTTCCTTTTACCTGAATTTTGGCTAAAATGTTTTCATAGCTCTTTTTACCATTTCATATGCATTAAATACTAATTTTATATGAACGACCCTCAATGTCACCTGTAATCAAAAGCTTAATCTATGCCTTTCCCGAGGAGATAAACATTTTGTACAATTTATTCTGAAAAGTCATTAAGTCTTTCTATGCAAAGAAAGCTATCAACAGCCTCATCATGTGGCTGAAAAGCTTCTGAATTCACCGTAGAACCCAATCTTTTAGAAAAACGCTAACCTGTTCCCAAACTTCCACATTTGTTTTTTGCTCTTCAGCTACCTCTCCTCCTGATTAGATTTCCCGGCTATAACAAGGATCAGTAATTACTTGTTAGACACCTAGAGCTGGGTGTCGAGTGATGCCTTGCAACCCACAATGGATCTGCATTTTTTTTTTAACCTGAGCATTATGAAACACTCACTGCCCAGCCCCTAGATAGGAAAATTTCAGCCAATGAAAACATTTGGCTGCTTGCATAGTTCCAAAAAGTATTCATTGACTTGAAATGTATTAAAAGCCTACAATGTGCAGGTAATTGTGCCAAGGGTTGAGACATGTAAAGAAAGAAAAACAGGGCCGGCCGAGTGGCGCGATGGTTAAGAACTCGCTTGGGATGCCAGAGGGCCCCGGTTCGGATCCCACATATGAGGGCCAGTGACACTGCCCTC